ACCAATATATTATTTCGGGTCATTGAAGATTGCTCTCGACTTACATCACAATAAATCTTGCGCTTATTATTTGCAAAACAATATTTTAGTTTCATGTATCATATAATAATGCGACATTTGAAATATCGGTCAAATAATATATTTAAGCAATAAAAAACAAATACAGTGATTAACAAACGTGTTATTTAAATTTTCTATAAATTTTTATAAAAATATATTATATTTGTAATCCAGTGCAGCATAATTATTTCGTCAATTTTACACTGATTAGAAATGAACTATAAATTTATAACAATTATAATGACAATTATGAATTCGCAATTAATCGATTAATGTCAAAATCGATTAATGAGAAACAATTAAACTATTTAACCTTCAAGATTATTATTATACAATGAATCGCAAGAGCTTAACAGTAGATGACAAAGAAGAATAAAATAAGGTTGTATTTTTCGAACGATGTTCGACCGCAAAATTCCCAACTGGTATGCGATACCATGAATCACTTCGTTCTTGAGTTAAGAATAAAAGAGGCTCAAGAGAAGGCGCAATGCATTGCTTCAAAAAAAGAAACGTAGCGGTGACGCAAATGAACAAACATCTTCTATTCTTTTCGGTTTGTAATTTAAGACTGTACTACTCGTTTTATTCTACATAAAATGTTCAAAAATAGCTTATTGTTAGGCAATTGTTATCAAATATTCTGATTATTCTCAAATAACAAACTGACGTCATTAAATGTCAAACATCATGACGTTATTTTGACGTTTAATGATATCAGTTGCGACCTGGATTAATTGAAAATTATTATAAATTTTTAACTATCTTTTTATTCTTATAAATATTTTTTAATAAAGTAGTTGTTTAATAAGAAAAAATATTCGTTCGATCAAAATTATTTATTAGTTTTTCTCTTATTTTTTCTGTTTTTATGCATAAATTGTTTCTTATACTAACAGTAGCTTGAATGAGCAGCAAACAAGCAATTATATGTACATCTTACGTGATACTTTTATACGTGTTATAAACTAATTTGTGCTTATCTCTCAATCATAAAGTGCACTTATCTGATACTACGTATAATTTATATATAAAAATCTAAACATTTCATGACGGTTATTAGCATAATATATTCACAAGTTACTAGACAAAAAAATATTACAGAGAAACAGAAAAATATTAAAAATAAAGTATATTATACAAACTGATAATTGGAATAAATTAAAAATATTATATTACATAATATTATAATTTTTATGCAGCTAGATATTTTTTCACAACTTATATTCATTCGTATTTTGAGAATTATTGTTATAGTTATATATAGATTCGTTTACAAATTAATTTGTTAATATTTCTTATCACAATATTCGATTATGCAATGTACTGTATGTGAATTCTAACTAATTAATATGTAACAAAGAGAACATAATTTTTAATTAATATATTAAATATATTTAAAATGCATATTTATTGTTAAATACATTATCATTTCTTTCAAGCTAGTCTCATTAACTTACGTAATATGCTACTTCGTAATAATTTAACTTCATTATACATGTATAAAATTATCGCTGCACTTACGACATGATTAATAAAATTTTACATCTTATGTTATTTATTTATGAATTAATTTTTTTAGTAAAATCTTATTTTTTAAATTTTTTAGTCAAATCTTCTATTTTCATTAATTTTATAAAATAAG